GACCCTCGAGACCCTGTAATGTGTATATGTAGCAGGTGTGAACAAACTAGCAAAATAGCTCTTGATATTAAAAGGAGATTATAGATCTATTGCTTTATCGTTCTTTACTCAGATTATTAACTTTAAATAAATGGAATAATATAAATTGACTTACCTTCGTATTTTATAATGTCCAAGAAGATAAATGAAGTATTTACCAGAAATGCCAATTTTTACTCAATATTATTTATTTATGGTAATAATGTCTTTATAGATCAAAATAAGTTTTAAACACAAATAAAGTAAACAAAAAATAAAATAACTCAAACGGCAGCACGGGGCCGTGATCAAAATGTAATAGTAAGCGTAGTTCGCAGGAAAGAACTAGCTTACTGGAGTTGTGACTCTAGCAGTAGCTCTCTGCTTAGCCGTGGCTCTGGCCTTAGCCGTAGCCGTGGCTCTGTGTCAGTAGCTCTCACTCTGTGTTTTTCAATGGATATCAGTGCTTTTTATAGTACTAAAAAGGTACCCCCATATCCAGGGATATTGCCGTTTGTGTTATTTATGATTATTATTTATTGTTTCAAAGTATACATTACATGATAATTATATTAGATAATATAGTTGACAATAGATGAGTTGGCATATATATAAATAATAATAAATTGTATTGAACAGCATATTTGTTATGACAGATAAATTATTTGTTTGTTTACAAGTTGTTTAAAATACAGATTATACATTTTTCATTGATAATCGTAAGATGCTTAATGCAAAGCATTGAGCATATTACGACATTATTGATTTGATAAGTTTTATATTGTCTGTCGACCTAACACAACCTCATTATTGCTGATAAAACCAGTAAAGGGCAAATCATAAAAATAAAATAATATTTCAATATAAAACAATCAAAATACGTTTCGGAGACCTACTTAGCATATACATATCATAAACATGACATGCATCATGCGTAGTTAAGTGATTACATACATCTGTAATATAAGTATAGATTTTTAGAAATAACATAATATAAAATCAATTCTATATATGTTATAACAAAAAATTAAGTTACATTATACTTTTTTGAATAAATTATTTAAAAAATCTGTCACTATTTTTCAAAAGGCTTAGCAATTTTTTAGGGGAAAAAAATGAATGACAACTTTAAATAAAATAAAAAATATATGCGTTGCATGCGGTTGGGACTGAGCTTGGAACTGAGTGGTACAAAATGTTTTGTCATATCTATTGATCTACTAAATATATTGTATTACTTTTTTTAAAAATAATTATTAATAATAATAAATTATAATTTATTCAATCTCAGACTAGGTTAAAATCATAATTTTTATTATTTGGTTCATAAAAATAAAAAGATCAAAATGGCGGTTTTTAAAGCTTAGATAACAATAACCTGTAATTGATCAATAACAATTTTAGAATAAGTACTCATTAAGTTACAAACATATTAATACATTGAATGGGTATGTAATACGAGTGAATACAGCTCATACTGATGTTTATTTAAAATTCATACCCAACCGCGCTACGTACTAATATAAATAAGAAAATAGTTGTAACTCAATAAATGCTTAATGTTTTTGACCCATTAAAACTTTTAATATGTTAAGCTCTAGAAAATCGGCTATATAATAATTAAAAATAAATTTTTTTTTCATTTTAAAAACAAATAATAAAAAACGGTGACAAAGTAAAAAGTAAAAAAGTAAAAAAGCTTTGATGCAAATCTGTATATAGTGTTTAATTTAAAAAAAAAATGTTAATTATTTCAAAAGCAACATGATCGCCTATTTCCTTATTTACATCCTGATTACAAGTTTTATGATTTATAAGTGTAATATATGAATAAATATTTAGTATAGCAATTGAATTTTCATCCGAAAGCAAAATATACTTTTTTAAACCAATTTTTGCGCTGATTTCAAATCTGCAATGAAAGTTTGCATATGGTCTAAATAATAACAAAATCCTTCTAATTAATATAATAAATATTTATGTTTGATTATTAGGCTACGTAAGAATAATCAATAAATATGTTTTAATTAAAAATAAGTTGAAAAAGTTCTACTTTCTATACGCATTTTTTAGTTTTGAACTACTTCTGTATAAAAGGAAATGGTCCAATTCTAAAAAGAAGTATGTCAAATGTATATAAATAGTAATTATCATAAAAAAATTGTTTATACATATTTAAAAAACGTATAGCATTATAAAGTTAGATATATAAAAATACATTTTTTTGTAATAATCGTATTTTTTTTATTAATTTTGATGTCTGTTTTCATCATGAAGACAAAATAAAGTATATTACATTAGCTTTAATTTAAGGTTTATTTAAAGTGTCAAAGTTTCCGGAACACTTTCAAAAGTTAATTTTTTGTGAATAAGTTGTCATTTTGAATCCCCTCCTGTAAAGGGTAAAGGGTAAAAATTATAAAAAAATATATATCAAATGATAGGTAAAAACATCATGCATCTATGAAAAAAAAAATTATATTGATTTGGTAATTTTTAAAAACGTTATAGCAGTTTTAAGTAAAAAAATAGAATAAATGTCGAAAATTAACGATTTTTAAATTTGAAATTTTTTTGGAGATTTCCCCTATTTACGGGGAACGAGGGAAATTGTTTCAATTTTTGAGAGTAACATTTTCAACTAGATACGATTTGTGATCTGTTGACGTATCGTTGAAAGATATAGGTCCAGTGAGAACTGAGAAAAAGTAGTGACAGACACAAAAAATTAACATATCATGGTAAAATATAACCTTCTTAGCTTCGCGTCGAAGCTAATAATATGATATTAAAGTAGTCTAATAATACATGTTTTTAAAATAAAAAATTATTTTAGGTATAAATAAAACCAGTTTAAAATTCTAATATGGTTAATGTAAATAATGACACTTTTGGTGTTTTTAATACGTTTGAAATGTAATAACCCTGAACGCAAAATATTTATAAAATCAAAAGTATTTAGATTTGATAAACCAGTAATCATTATACATTAGGAGTTTCCACAAAAGTCATCTTACACTTTTAAACCAGAAAGAATAATTATTTTTAGTAAATATTTAAATAATAAGATAAATTATTGTAAATAATATTTATTTTGCAACTAATGTTCGTTAACAAGTTTGTAATTCGATTAATAAGATAATAATTGATAAAACACGGAAGATAACTTCAAAGAAACTTGAAAAATTCACATTGCATATCATTTACAATATTATTGAATAAATGCAGTAATATAAACAAAATGAATAAGATAATATTTGTCATTAATAGCTTGGCTGAACTTGATAAATAGAGAAAAGAATTATTTGACATGAAATGGATACGTTGACTTAAATAGAAATCACACATAAAATGAAACGCACGAAGTAAAACAGCCCTTATTTACAAATAAAACCTAATCATTCATTCATAAAAACTGAAAAGACAAAGTGATGAAATCTTTCACTCTCACTAAACATAATTACACATTTAGTATCCGGTAAGTAAAGCATTAGAGGTATTTATTGATAATAAATACAACATATCATTTTTTAAAAATACTATTTATTTTAGACTGTTAGTTCTGTTATAATAGTATTTAACAAAACTAAATAATTATCAATTGATATAGTAACATAAAATACTACTTTAATAAATAAATAGTACATATAATCATTAACTAGACTTAACTTTATAATTTTTAGCATATGTATCCTTATAAAACATAGTAAATAAGTAAAGGAATATACAAACATTACAAACAAGAAACAATGAATAAGTTTTTGGGAATCCACACTGAAATATAAACATGCTACATAAATACGTCAAAATTATGATAAATTGAACCTGAAAATGAAATTAAATAAGTATTGTAATTTACACTTATAGATTTTTTTTACAATTACAATTTGCATAAGAGTTAAATATTTTTTCCACCACAAATATTTTTGAACTCTCGGTCCCATAGCTGATAAAAAGTAGTATGAATACATGATCACGTGGATAAAAACATTTAAGAGTCCAGCCAGAAGCCCTTCCGTACCTAATAAAATTCGAATATTATAAATTAAATAACCATAAATTATACTTATTTTTTTCAATTTCTCAATATTAACAGCTGATTAAGAAATTGGGTTTTCAAACTCATGTTATTTTATCAAAAATACATCAAACAATATACAGTATGTATTTAATATTTAATTTGCTCAAAACTTTTAAATAGACAACTAAAACGAAAATAACTTTTCGATAAATCTATTTTTTCCGTGACATTTTACTTAAATGTAGAGGTAATTTTTTCTTTAATAAAACCTTACTAGCGCACTCCTTAGAAGATTTAACAGTATTAAAGTATTAGTTAAAAGTATTTGCGTGAACACCTTTATAAGTAAATTAAGAACGTAACAAAGTTTTATCAATACCGAATATGAATATAAATAATAAAGATAGCTACATAAAAAATAAACTGAGTTAATTTATATCAAATAATTTTTAGTTTCATCGTGAAAATTATTATGGTAGAATTATGTTTTACCTTTGTAGAATCTCAATTGGACCCAACAAGTAATAATCATAATTGCATGATGATAAACATGCAATACTGACACATGTGAATTCTTTTTCTTCAATATAAAGAATACCTGAAATAAACATTTTAAAATCACATTTATGTCTGAATAAATATAATCTGCAAAAATGTTATTACATCTGTATATATTTGATTAAAGTAGAAATATAATTTTAAATTATGTAAAGAATTTTAAAAAGCTTTTTTTTTTACAATTTTTTTTAACTAAAAAAAAAGTTTGCAAACAGTTTGTATAAAAATATACTCCCCTCTTTTTTACAAAAGTTTTAATGACTACTTTTTTCAAGAAACTTGCAAACCCAACGTTTTAAATTTGTAATATTTATACTTAAAACATTATTTATCTTTAATTAATAAGTATACTATGCTCGCATAAACCTATAATTGTTTAAAAATACAGTACATACAAAATACATCAACAATAAATATGTTTGATGAATGATAAGGAATAAACAATTTTAGTAAAAATTACAGACCTTCAAAGTCTATTAAAAATTATTTGAATTTTCATAAAAATAATTAATTTCATGATTTATATTAACAAGAAAACTTAATGCAATACTTACTGTGTCCAATAAATCGATCACTTTAGAGAAAAAATAAAACCACGAGCCTTTGTTTAACTGTAAAATGAAGTTTATAAAATTACGAGAGACAATCAGTTGATTTGATTAAATACATATTACATATGAATTTAATCAGTACCTTTCAATTTTAAAAATATATTTGATGTCTTATATAAAAGATAATAATAAAATTAATATAAATAACATAATGAAAAGTCATACAAATTATAAAGTCTTAGATCAAAAAGGTCTGATAACAAGGCCTACTGTTCCGGATATATGAATTTTATTAAGATTATTACTTTTTGAAAATAAAAACATAATGTTATTAAAAAAAGATCTCATTTTTTAAGTATACAGCTTCAATTATATTATTAAGTTAAATTTTTCTAAAATTAATAAACTTAAAATCTGTTGATTAAAAAATGGAAATATATGAGACATTATATTTTAACATATGAGGATGTTTAAACAAAGAAATATTCTCTGCTCGTTTTCTCTCTAAATCTGCACTAGACTCTTGCACAGTCTCATCCATATTGATGACATAGAGACTGAATTGATAGAAACGTATTTTACCACATAATATAGTAAACATTAAATACCTCTAACATTAACAATGGAAATAATTCTCGTTTCTTAGGATGGCATGAATGGTTCCAAAAGTAACTTAATCCTCCAGGCGTAGAAAAAAACTGAAATAAAATTATTTATCGATTAACTCCATTATTTAGATCTAGCACGAAACATTTATTTACAGTCATACCCACAAAAAGTATAAATACATAAAAATTTATTTCCTTAAAAATATAATATTAATTTTTTCTTTACTATTAATTATACATTACAAAAACTTGGAAAAAATTCATACTAGGATATTCTATTTTAAATTAGCTACATCTAATAAGTATACTTACTAACTAATATTATAAATAACATGTAATAAATTACGATTAATAAAGAAATAATAGTGGCGTCGGGGATCACTTTTTGCCTTTGAACCTTTAAACCTTTCAAATTTAATATAAAAAACCAAAAATAAAGAGCATTCAGAGATAGATGCAGTCAGATATTCACAGAGGCACTCACTACGCTCGATCATTCCAAATAACAAAATATATGCAAGAAATGATCCGCCGTCAACACAATTATATTTGTTCAAAGAAAAAGACAACATCTATTTATTTAAGAGTATAGCAGAAATTATCAAGGTAGGAATCTAATAAATTCACCAAAAATAAATAAGGTTTAGAATTTAATTTTATGAGTACATAGATTAAGTAGGCATACAGGAAAATCAAGTGATTATCAATAATAACTAATATACCTTAATATAATTTAATAAATCGATAATGTTTGTACAGAGTTACTTGGCAGAATTATATCGTTGATACGTGTCTATATCAGGAGTTAGGTTGGAGGTTCATATGTATAGCCACCATACCACTCTGGGTAGACACACGAGGTGACTCAATCCCACCTATCATCGATAACCGTCAAAACTCGTGGCATTATTGATATTTAAGAATTGACAATTAATTATGATANTATTATTGATATTTAAAAAATTGACAATTAATTATAATGAATCCCATATTAATAAAATAAAGATTACTTTATTTTTCTATCATCTTCTATCTTTCTTAAAAACCCTCGTACTCATACCCCGAGTAATAATAATAATATTATTAATACAATAAAGTAGTGGATCAAATAAGAATCAAAATCCCGTCATATTCTATTTAATTTATTTATTTTATGTAACTGTCAAAGTACTCTCTAAATTAATACAAGTAATTAACCCCCCTATATTAATACAATAAAGTATTATATTTTCTTTTTTTGATTCACTACAATTATTTTGTATGATTCTACTAAAAAAAAGTGTACGTCCTTATGCGTATGAGACATAGACCAAAAAAATAGTTTGAACTAAAAAATCTAAAAACGCTTCCAATGTTACTTTTATTTTATAAGTAACTAAGTAGGTTAGGATGGAAATATCCTTGTAATATAAAAAATTCATTATAACATTATTTTGATGTATTTTCTATTTCATTGAAAAGTAGCACGGAGAATAAGAAATTACCAATTTATTACTTAGAACATATTTTCCATTAAATATCAACAGTCATAATTCTATAATGGTTAAAACTAGAATAAAATATTAGGGGTTGTAAAATCTCCTTTAAAACAGGTAATAAATTCTTAATAAGAAGCTCTAATTTCGTCAACGGAATCTATTTTAGTAACTTTTTAAAAAATCCATAAAAGCTAATAATATTTGCATGCTTTAATAATTTTAATATATTTTTTAACATATTTTAATAATAATAGGATTATTATTTTAATTATAATAATTAATTTTTGAAATAAAGTTCACCTACTACCAATTTGTGTAAAATATAACTTTACATTATACAATATAATATACATTCAGANACCAATTTGTGTAAAATATAACTTGACATTATACAATATAATATACATTCAGATGATTATAAATATTGTAATTATTTTAAAAATATTAAAAGGAAAAATATGAATAAACCACAAAAGCACTTTAACTGAAAACAACTCGCTAAATATTCTAAATAAAAGACATTATACTAAAATCATGATCCTATAAAAACCAATACAAGTTTACCAGAATTTACATTTTATTTTTCACGAAAGTTAAAATATTTTAAGTATATTGTGTATTCGTTGTATTGTTAATATATTTAACGTTCTCTCAATTTAGAATTTAATTCTAATATTAAAAAGAGGGGGAAAACCTGTAGAGTTCGGCATTCCGGAATCGATACCTGTGTACAAAGCCACACCTCGTTCATGATCAAGTATACAGGCCACTATTACTTGGCTCAATGAACTGTGCATCAAACTAAATTAATTTCATTTAAAACAAAGTGTTGTTACACTTAATTTTCCATAAAAATAAGTTTCTTCTACTCTTTCAATAACCATTTGAGTTATTTTTTACTTACCCAGTATAATAAGAAGCCATTATAGAACACTTGTGTTATATTGTAAATTAATATAATTCCCTTTAAATTAAATGGTTCTCGATTTTTCATAAAACGTGGACCAATAATCAAAACAAATAATAAATATACTAGTACAATAGTAAAAACTGGCCAAGCAGGATCCATTAAAAACCAAGAATCAACAATATCATCTAAAATAAAAATATTTAAAATATTTAAAATTTGTTGAAAATATAAAGCTATTAGGTTTATGCTACCAAATGTAAACAATTTTATTAAGGAATGGTTGAAAGAATGAAGTGCATGATGTTCTACCATGCATTACTGTAATTTATAATTAAAACATAAAAATTGATTATTGTATTAAAATTATCGGCTGACATATCTAATCAACCGTCAATTTTAAATCGCTAATATATAAAAATAAAAGAAAACGATTAGACATTAAATTCAAATTTTCACTTTCAAATTCGATCTTCAAAAATCGTAAATAAATGATAACGTTTGGAACATTTGTTTTAGTAATATTGGGGTATTTTTGTATTTAATACTTATTTAAAGTATCTTGATCGAAGAATCGACCTAGACTAGTGGGTATAAACATATGTTCAGTTCGCAGATTCTCGGGTTCAATCCCCAGGGTGCTAACAAGATTTTTCTTGTAAATTTTTCATTTGTGGTGTCTGGTCTAAGGTACAAGCCATAATACTCGTCTCATCATTGGCTTTACCAAGAACCATCATCGACTCCCTAACATGTCAAAGAGGTAACACGTAAAATTCAGGAAATAGAATGATGTTAAACTGATAATTTATTTTATTTAAAAAATCTTCATCAACGGGTGCTTAAGAGGGTAATTAGAGACTTTGGTGCATTTTCTACTTCTGAATCTTCTGAAAAGTACGTAGTTTAATTCTCTAATATTTGATGTATTTTAATAACAATTTTTAAAAATGTTAATAACTTATTTTTCATTTTAACCAATATAACTATTTTTTTATCATCTGCTTCATGTAAAGAAATTTTTTTTATTAAGTTTGCAAACGTTTTTACTATAGAAAAATGTATATTATCAAATATAAAATGTTCTAAATTATTTGTACTTGTGTTAGCTATTTAATTTAACTATATTAAGATATTATCATTAATTAATGGATTATTCCAAAAGCTACATAATCTCTTATTTCCTTATAAATAACCTGATTACAAGTTTTATAATTTAGAAGTGTAATATATGAATAAATATATATAAATATAATATAATAATATATAATGATCCAACATTTTTCAAAAAGTTATAGCATTATTAAGTTAAAATTATAAAAAAGATTTTTTTTACAAAAATCGTATTTTTTTTTATTAATTTTGATGTCCGTTTTCAACATGAAAACAAAATAAAGTACGAAATTTTTTTTCCATAATAAAGTATATTATATAAGCTTTATTTTTAAGGTATATATAAAAGTGTCAGTATTTCCGGAATACTTTCAAAATTTAAGTTGAAAAAGTTAATTTTTTGTAAAAAAGTTGTCATTTTGAATCCCCCCTGTGGGCATGTAAAGGGTCATATTTATAAAAAAAATAATACCAAATGATAAGCAAAGTGATCATGCGCATCTATAAAAAAAAATTATTGATTTGATCATTTATGAAAAAGTTATGGCAGTTTTAATTTAAAAATTTCGAAAATTAGCAATTTTTAAATTTCAAATTTTTTTTGGAGATTTCCTCCATTTACGGAGGACGAGGGAAATTTTTTCAATTTAAGGGTAATGTCTTCGACTAGATACAATTTGTAATCTCAATTTGTATTTTTGAGAAAAATCGGCCAAGTGAGAACTGAGAAAAAGTAATGACAGACACAAAAAAAAAAAATAAAAAAAAACACATTATAGTAAAATTAATACCTTCTCAGCTTCGCATTTAAGCTAAAAAATTATTTTAGAGACTATTTTTTTACTTTAATGAAAAATTTTGATTCTGCCCCATGTATATTCAAATGTAACCCGTCGTATTTGGGGTATATTTTGAATACAATATAATTAACTTCGAGAGCTTAAAAGTTCATAAATAATCAAATATAGAGACAAAACTAGTTTAAAATATGTAGAAATATTTAAATTAAAGATTAGAATCATAAAACTAAAATTTTTGTACATTTAATAAAATATAACATCTTAATTTATACTAATATTTTATTAAAATTAATCAACGTTTAATTTTTATATAAAATATAATATTTTTAAATTAATTTTTCATTTGCAATGACATTTTTTAGTTACAAAAAACTTAATAACCGTAAAAACAAAATTATATAAAAATATTTAACTAACCGTATACTACTTCTTTTTCAAATATTTCGAAAAAATTGTCTCTGGCATTATTTAGGAAATCAAACATAAATGTAACATTTGCCATAGTAGCTAAAACAGATCATAAACAAGTTAAGATTATTAATTAAGTACCTAATAATACAATATTGAATGCTATTGACATATAATTTTGATAGCTACCAAGACTTCTGGCAGTAATGAAAAACCTTTCATTAGTTTTTAATTTTTATATTAAATTGGTGAATTGATTTAATACTGTATACTGATTTAGAAAAAAAATTAAATATCAATTCGTCGGTATTTTTTGAATTCTAATAAAACCGTTAGCTCTACGTATACTTATGTTAGCACTACTGGATTTCATCTTAAAAGAAAAATAAATTTCTCTTACCAATATTTTTACTAATTGGATTCCAAATCTAGAGAACTTATATAATACAAATTGATCACTTGTGGCTAATATTATTTTTTAGATGAAGAATTTGTTTAAAATACATAGATAATTTGGTAAAAAAATTAATTTTTAATAAACATTTATTTTGGCACTATAATTCATACAAGTGAACATATCTATATTATAGATAATAACACCACTTTTTGTTTTATTTTGTTAATATCTATAAAATAAAAATAAAAATAATCAATTTTTGATCGTACTGGTGAAATAATTAGGAACGTCCACGGATATTTAACATTCACTTTTATGCAGAATTTTAAACAGAAACTGCTCTATGCATAGATCATATTCATACATAGAACAATTATGCCTATATTAGTAGTAGAGCAGTCAAATTTCGTGGATGAGATGAATTAAATTAAATTAAATTAAATTTATTCCTCTCCGTAGTACTAATTTTTATAAAACAATGCATATAATGTTTTTAATTTCTGGGAGGCTAGATTGTAAACTAGAGTGCTAAGAATCCTAGCCCTCTAACTTACGCCTATGGCGTGGATAAAAAAATAAAGAAAGTCGTATAATTAGTACGTGTCTTATAGTAAAAAAGAACTTAACAAAAGTAACGCTAGTCAATTTTAAATAGCTAAATATTTTCTTCCTTGATAAATACTAAAAACAGAACGTATGTGTATCATAAGTTTCACCGATTATAGATGTACGGCAGAAGCATTGAATTGCTAAGGGCGTAGTGATCAAGAAAGTAACGTCTCACTAAACTTAAACAACAGAACAGCTGGTTGATAATATTATAATTACAAATTTTTTAAGTTTCTTTTACTGTATAATACATTTTTTAATTGTTTAAACAATTAAAGGTCGTTTGAACTTGAAGTTATTTGACAATTTGAAAAAAAAAATAAATAAATTTTTGCATTATAATTATTTATTTTTACATTACTTTTCTCAAATTATCCGATAAATAGTAGATATTTGACTATCTTTTAATTAGATGCTAAAGTAGAATCTAAAGGAATTTAAGTTTCAAAGCTAATTAGAGTTTCGTAAAAGCAAATCAAAATGATGAAATTATAAAAATTATTATTATTTAAATTTATGTTTCATACAATTAAAATATTTCCTAATATGCTATTTCTAACAAATAAATGCTTAGTATCTTATTTCCAAGAGTAAAGTAAAAAATATTTAATTTAAATAGATATAAAATTGCTTAATACAAATATTTTCTATCATACATTTCCAAAGGATTAAAAATATTTATTGTTTGGGTAAATTCTTAGCAAAGAAAACGTCAATAGAATTCAAAGACCAGTACAATATTTTTAAACATTTTTAATAAAATTAAAAACTTACCTTTTTTTAAATATCACAGCTGTCTCTAAAAACTATATACCTTAACAAATTATAAGAATAGTTAGTTATTCTACTCAATTCTACTATACTAACTCAACAATCATTTTTCTAAGATCGTCTACTAACAATAGTTATAAAACATGTTCAAATCTAGATCTTCAGCAACGAGGTGAGCGACAGTAAAACCGGGCTTTCCAGTTGAGTTTAATACAATCATTTTATGATATCCTTGATATTAAAGTCAAAAGTTATTAAAAAATGTATAGAGAATTTTTTCTAGTTTTGTATTTTCCTGGTTAAAAAAACTAGCCTAACACGTCTTATAAGGTCTATGTGATGAATTTTAGATTTGTTATTCCTACATACTTTTAAACATTTTACCAGAAATTACATATTCTTTTACTTTGGTGTTANCTTTTGGTCGAATCGCCACCGCAAAATCGGTCATCTGTATTTTTATTGTGTTACGATTAGTATTGTTACGATTATTATCTTTGGTACGCACTCGATTTGTTTGTTTCTTTTTCGGTGTTATAATTCTTGTGTTTTCTTAATAAACGGCTTGACGCCCTTAGAAAACTAGTTTTTCTCATTTATTTTTGGTTTAACACCACCTTCTATCAACTCTATCAACTGGCTCCCCGGCATAGGATCAAAACCGGATAACTTTNAGTTATTAAAAAATGTATAGAGAATTTTTTCTAGTTTTGTATTTTCCTGGTTAAAAAAACTAGCCTAACACGTCTTATAAGGTCTATGTGATGAATTTTAGATTTGTTATTCCTACATACTTTTAAACATTTTACCAGAAATTACATATTCTTTTACTTTGGTGTTAAATTACTAATAAAAGATGAAAACATTTTTTTTTTTCATATATTACATTAAACAAGCTTTAATTATATTACTTAATAATGATGTAAGCAATCCGTTACATTGCAAAATGTTACAAAATTGGATTTAATGTCCAATAAATACTAGATATCAATATTTCATATTATTTTTCTTTTTTTCATCTTAAAGTAAGTTTTAACTTGAAGTAGGTTTTTAGAACATTAACAATATTTGAAAATAAAAGAATTGGATATGATGATTAGTTTTCTTTTTAGCTTCGATGCGAAGCTAAGAAGGTATTAATTTTACCATGATGTGTTTTTTTTTTTTTTTTTATATCTGTCGCCACTTTTTCTCAGCTCTCACTGGACCGATTTCTTTCAAAAATACGTCAAAAGATCACAAATCGTATCTAGTTGAAGACATTACCCTTAAAAATTGAAAAAAATTCCCTCGTTCCCCGAAATTGGGGGAAATCTCCAAAAAAATTACAAATTAAAAATCGATAAATTATGTCATTTTTTTCACTTTTTTTTCTTAAAACTTCCATAACTTTTTCAAAAATCAACTAATCAACATAATATTTTTATACTAAAACCTTAGATATTTCCCTTTTATTTTATATCATTTTTTTGAAAATTTAACATTTAACCTGCTCACTGGGGCGGATTTAAAATAGCAACTTTTTTACAAAAACTAACTTTTTCGACTTAATTTTTGAAAATGTTCCGGAAATACTGCGTCTTTTAAACATATACCAAATTAAAGTATTAAGTATTAAGCAATTGGTAGATTATTCCGAAAGCGAAATGAATTCCTATTTCCTTTATTATTCCTGATTAGAAGTTTTTGGATTTAGAAATATAATGTATTAATAAATATTTATTATAGCAATTAAATTAGTATGAGATTGATATTTAATATTTTATTGTTCTAATTTTTACGGATAAATTATAATGTAGTTGTAACTTTTATGGCAGACTTGTGTACAAATTGAAAGGCTTGATACGAAACTATTTTGATAATAATTTGTTGTTAATTATGAATAAATGGTTTGCAAAATATTTCGATCAATGTCAAAAATATACTTTTATTATTCACTTTTTTGTGCCAATTTCAAATTATATTTTACCTATCAACAATAAATTTTGATATTACTACTTACTAATTAGTTAAAAATAATAATAACTATAAGAAAAATAGTTCTAAATATTTCAATTGTATTATATATTTAAACACGAAGAGTTACATAGAAATTATTAATATTTCATTTTAAATAAATTATTATGATAAAAAAAATAATTAAAAACACAAATAAATTATTTTTAATAATTACAGATTTTGATTTTTAATATGTTAAAAATAATCAGTGAAAAAAATCATTATTTTGGACTTATAAAGTTAAATTTTTGAAAGTTTATTATAAAGAAAAAATTAATTTGTTACTATAACTTTTAGTTCAACTTCAAGTTTAAATTTTATATTATTAAAAAGATAATTTTATGAGAATTAAAAAAATAGTGTTGTAAAGATTTATAATGTCAGGAAATTGCATAATTACTATTTACTGTAAATTTATCAGAATAGCTCTAAATATTTATAAAAATAAATAAGGTATTTTAATATAAAATAAAATACAAAATAGAGAATTTAAACCCAAAAATGAAGAAAAAATAAAGCCCGAAATTTTTTTTTGCCATAATAAAGTATATTACATGAGATTTAATTTAAAATATTTATAAGAGTCAATTTCTTGTGGTAATTAATTAATAAGTGTTAATAATTTCTTCGAGAAAATACGATTTGTGATATTTTGACCTATCGTTGAAAGATATAGGTTCAGTGAAAGCTAAGAAAAAGTGATAACAAACAAAAAAAAAAAACATATAGTAAAATTAATACCTTCTCAGCTTCACATACAATTCAAAAATTCTCAGCTTCGCATCGAAGCTAAAATTTCGGTTGAAAGAGATATGTATCAAAACACTTTTTTTTTTAATTTAATTTTTTAATTTTTTGAACTTATAGTACATAACATAAGCTTTATTTTAACATATGTTTGAAGCTCAGACAGCTGATGTGAGCGTAGATGATGTGGGAGATCGTGTCAAGTGCAAGTTTAGGATAAGGGTGGTTGACCTCAAGTAGTTGGGATTAAGGCGAGGAAGAAGAAAATATGTTTGAAGCTCGGAGTATTTCCGGAACATTTTCAAAACTTAAGTTGAAAAAATTAAATTTTTGTGCAAAAGTTGCTGTTTTGAATCCACCCTGTGGGCAAGTAAAGAGTCAGATTTTCAACAAATTTATACCAAATGAAACATAAATATCTAAGGTTTTAATATAAAAAATAATTATTTTGAATTGATTATTTTTCAAAAAGTTATGACAGTTTTAAGAAAAAAATGTTGAAATTTACCGATTTTAAAAATCATAATTTTTTGGGGGATTTCTCTCATTTACAGGGAACGAAAGATTTTTTTTCAATTTTTAAAGGCAATGTCTTCAATTATATAATACGATTTGTGATCTTTTGACGTATTGTTGAGAAAAATCGGTCCAGTGAGAGCTAAGAAAAAGTAGTGACACACACAAAAAAAAAATGAAAAAAAAAATAATAAATAAACACATCTAGTAAAATCAATACCTTCTTAGCTTCGCATCGAAGCTAAAATACGATTTTTATAAAAAAATTCTTTTTTATATTTTTAAATTTATAATATAACATAATACATTTTTTGAACCCAACCTTTTTGAAAAATTTATAGATCAATACAATTTTTTTATGATAAATACTATTTATATATTTATATCATTCGGCATATTTATTTTTTAAATCAGATCATTTCCCTTTATACAGTGGTCGTTTAAAACTTAAAAATGCGTTTAGAAAGTAGAGTTTTTTCAACTTAATTTTAGAAAGTGTTCCAGAAATAGTGACACTTTTATATATATCTTAAAGCTTATGTAATATACTTTAGATTTATAGACCCCCATAAATCTCCAAAAAAATTACAATTTTAAAATAGGCAATTTTCGACATTTTTCATTTTTTTTTTTTTTTAATTAAAACTACCATAACCTTTTGAAAAATATATGAATCATTACAATTTTTTTATAATAAATACTATTTATATACTTATTCATTTGACATAATTCTTTTTAGAATCGGACCATTTCCCTTTATACAAAAGTGGTTCAAAACTTAAAAATGCGTATAGTAAGTAGAAATTTTACAACTTACTTTTAACTAAAATATATTTATTCATAATTCATACGTAACCTAATAATCAAACATAAATATTTTTTATATTAATTGGAAGGATTTTGTTATTATTTAGTCGAAACTCTGATTACAGATTTGAAATGGGCTCAGAAATGGGTTTAGAAAATTATATTTTGGATGAAAATTTCTTGAGACCAATAAATTTATTTATAAGTAACAAACAATTTTTTTTTCCATAGTATTACAAAAATGTTTTTTTTTATTATAATATGCAACACATGCTTTAATTTAATATATTTTTTAAACTCGGATTATTTTCAGGACATTTTCAAATTGTTGAAAAGTTAGAATTTCATGCAAAAGAAGCTATTTTAAATCCCCCTTAATGGACAACCACCATTGGTTAGATAAAGTAAAAAAATAATGAAATTTATTGATTTAAAAAATAGTAATTTTTATTACCATTTACGGGGTTAACATAAAAATGTTCAATTTTTGAGGGTACATTCTTTGACTAGATACAATTTGTAATATTTTTATATATTGCTGATAGAAATCGATTTGATGAGTGCTAAGGAAAAGTAGTGACAGACAAATAAAGTAAACATAAACACATAATAATAAAATTATTACTATTTCAGCTTAGGATCAAAACTATAAACAATAAAAAACGTCGACAATAAATAAGGTTCACTATTTATTGTCACTGTATACTATACTTATGTACTACATATTCAATATTTTTTAAATATTTCATCGGCATCGGTGACTAAATAGTCAATAAATTTAGTAAACTCAGAATTAACGCAACATTGAAACAGATATAATTGTTCTACATAATGTTTAAAATAATTTAAAAATTCTATTTTTACAAGCCCATTTAAATTGATATCCAAAATATCGTGATATTTCAACACAATGTCAATATTATAATTTTACCAAAAAAACGGCCATATCTATATTCGATAATCTTTGTCGATCTCTCTTAAATAATATTTGTATTTTATTGGTTATTTGCAACAGATAAATATTGCGACGTAGAAAAGAAAAATAAAATGCAAAGAATGTGAAGAAAAATA